AAGAGCGAACTGGGGGGAGTAGTGGGCAGGGAGAAAAGTGTAACAATGAATGAATGGAAATCCCAAAATCTCTGTAAATGTTCATTAAAATTAATAAAAGAAAATAAAGTTGTCAGTAATTCTTATCTTTATAATGTTATAGATTAGTTGCCAGGTTAGAATGTTCAATCTGTAGTGTGGGCCACTTACACTGCTGGAAATTCTTTCTGGGAAATTAACCTTTCCTAAGTTCTTTCAGCTTTTCTCCATTCGGCACAGCAGCCCTCCAGGAATCTCACTTTAGTGTAGTTCCCTATCCCAAACTCTATTGTCCTTATTTATCTGTGGACTGGCTGAGAGGTATATGACCAGGTGCTCCACTCAAGTCGTTTCTGTCTAGGGGGGCTTCAAGTCAGCTCTCTCTTTGGCAGTTCAACCTGCCAGTTGAGAAAGCTGAGAAAGACTGATAATCCAATTACAAAATGAGCAAAAGACATGAAAATAATTTTCACAGAGGAAGGCATTTGGATGGCCAAAAGACCCATGAAGAAATGCTCAAAATCACTGGCAGTAAGAGAGATGCAATTCAAAACCACAGTGAGATAACCATCTTACCCCAGTAGCAGTGGCAAAGTTTAACAGGGCAGCAAGCAATAAATGTTGGAGAGGATGTGGAGAGATAGGAACTTTTATACCCTCTTGGTGGGACTGTAAAATGGTACAACCACTCTGGAAGACAGTTGGCATTTCCTCAAAAACGTGAACATAGAAACTCTGTGTGATTCAGCTATTCCACTACTAGGAACATACCCCAAGGAAATTAGAACTGAGACACAAATGGAGATTTGTACACCAATGTTCATATCAGCGTTATTCACAATCACAAAACCATAGAAACAGCCCAAATGTCCAGCCACAACTGAATGGATTGAGAAATTGTGTTATATTCATATAATGGAATACTATGTTGCACTCAGGAATAATTAAAAAAATATTACATAACTTAGGAGAGACTGGAGAGCATTATGCTGAGTGAACTAACTTAGTATCATAAAGACAAATACTGTGTAAGACCATTATTGTAAAAATAGAAGGATATTAGTAAAACATATATGGGGATGCAAGGGGATAAGGGGTGGGAGCAGAGGGGTAAGGATGGGTAGAGGCGAAACCACAGGGTTGCACAGTTGGTAGGGAAGGCTGGAGGTGAAGGAAATGAGAAGGGTCCAGTGGGGACCCGAAAAGTTTGGATAATGATGGGTAAGGTCCAATGGTGATTGATTTTATAAAACATAATAAATAGGAATAATAGTATTAATAAACATACAGCATGGAAATGATTGTATGACATACAATATGAATGAGGAATAGTGTGAAACACAATGTATATGAACTTTGTGAGCAAATGAATATTTACAATAAAGCAAATGGGGTAGGGAGGAAATGTGCAAAAATGAATGAATAAAAAGTACAACTTTTCTATAAACTTTGATTATAATCACAATACAGCTAAGCATTCAGTCAGTAAGCAAAAGGTCAACAGAGCCCACCCAACAGCTATGAGGGAGAAGGACCGTGGATGAAGATTCAGTGTCAGAAGTTCTGTGGGGGTCCTGCTATGTCCTGTGGTGAGGCCTGGCCAGCTGTTCCCTCAGAAGCACTATGGGGGTCTTGCTGTGTCCTGTGGGGTGGCCATTAGTCAGAACTGAGTTGAGAACAAGTGTGGTTTGTGGGTTTTTTGCTTTTTGGAACTTTGGCCACTATTCTGTCTCACTGACCTTCTTCTAGGAACAATCCCACAGACATCCTCTGTTCTTTAATAAAACCCACCAGTGGCGGGGGTTGAGTGTGTGCTTAATTACTAATTGAAAGGTTGGAGTTTTGCCCATGTTGGCCGCTCTGCAGGAGACTGTGTGCTTTGTAAAAGCTATGCTCCACTGCTGGGAGGGGAGTGGATCACCCAGCCGCTTTCCCTCCACTGAGTGTGGGAGGCTGTGAATCTTTGCAGGGGAAACCAGTCACCTTGCTCCACAGAGTGTCTGGTGGATTCTGCCCTCTGCTCTGGGAACCCTCTGGGACACTTTTGCTTTGTCCAGTAGGGACTTTGTGAGCCAGGATTGACTCAGCAGCTATGCGTTAGGTTTTCATTTTGGTTAAAGCATGAACAAGTGACTTAGCCACTTCCTAACCCAACTCGGACCTCGGGAACCCATCAGTGTCAGCGTGGGCATGTGCTCCACAGGGCTTCAGTGGCTTGTTGATTTCTGGAAACTGCTATGTCTTTATTCCAAAGCCCCTCTGGGTCTTAAGACACTAACCCTTCCCATTATTAGTCAGCACACCCACTATAGGTGCTTGTAAGAGAATAAATACAAAGATGTGACCCTCTGGCTACAAGGAGGAAAAACGCTTACTTTGAAAATCCATATCTATAAACATTCAGCATTCTGCAAAGATGTGTGTGCGTCCGTGAGATGTTCCACCAGGAGAGTGAGGCCAGGGCTGCTGATAATTTGGAGCACTTCCAAGAGGAGAGAGCCCTGAGCATAGCGTAGTGTGTGTGATTCTTGAACTATCCACTTGAAATCTCTAAGGATGAACATCAGAAATGCATCTTCCATTTATTGCTGTTTGTTAGGAGCCAACAAGATGATTCTGAACCACCCTGCACATGGAACAGAACCCTGTCAGGGCCTGTGCTGTCTCCATCATTGCTGCTGGGCCAGTACCACTATGGCAGTGTCTGCACCAGTCCATCTTACTGAAGATCTTTGCTGCCCCTGCACTTTACCAAGTACAGTGTCCTTCACCCCAAAAGGCCCCTCACGTTAACACATCCAAGGTACATGACTGAGTCTCTCCAACATTGCCCCAAGGAGTGTCTGCCTGGGCTGCACTTTATCCATACACATTTGTAGATTCTTCTGGCTGTCGTGTAATCCATAACCTTCACAAGCATCATACTTCAAAGACACCCTTTCTTTGTGGTCTTCCTGATTTATTGTCCCACTTTGACACGTATATGAGGGGATTGAAAGCACTATACCTTGGATCAGTCACACTTTCTTCTTCAAAGTGGTCTTCTCTTTCTAACACTTTAATGATATTTTGTGATCACATTACCTAGTGCAGTACATAACTGATTTCTTGACTGCTGCTTCTATGGGGATTGGTTGTAGGTCCAAATAAAAACTGTCAACAACTTCAGTCTTTCTGTTAATGATGTTACTTATTGGTCCAATTGTGAATCTTTTTGTTTTCTTCATGGTTGAGTGCAATCAGTACTGAAGGTTGTAGTCTTTGCTTGTTAACAGGATGTGCTTCAAGAGAAATCTGTCATGTCTCATTCATGTGGTGGGCTCCTCCAACCCCTGACCAACACAATACATTGATAACGACAATGAAGTGGATCACATGAAATTTTTTTCTTTCTCAGAGCATGTAAAAGATGATAGTCTTCAAGGAGCCATGTGATGTAGTTTGCTAAATGATGGGCTACTAGCTGATAGGCCAGAGATTCAAATCTACTAGACATCTTAAGGAACAGTGATGGGCAGGGTCTTTGTCTATTTGGAGTCTCAGAAACATGATGGAGGATTACCAAGAGCCACACCGACTCCATGACAATAGGCTTTGAGTTTCTTGGTCTAGTACATGTGCACTAGCTTTGGAAAAAAGTTTCAGATAGTGTGAAAACTACAAAAACAAGACCTAGAGACAGGAAGTGAGCACATGTGCCCGTAGATGCGGTCAGTTCATGGCTGCCACAGACCTTCCATTTAAACATCCCCAGGTATGCGACCTACAGCCCAGCACAGTGACACAGGATGCCTGTACTTCAGTGATAGGATCAGAGTTTCATTTTGTGTCATCATTTGTAATATTTGTGAATATTTGTTCCTGAGGTGTTTCATTCTTTCTTATCCATGCTGAATTTTATAATGAAGGCTTACTAAAAATGAAACAATCATTAAATGAAGTACTTAACATTATTGATTTCTCTCTTTTCTGCAGTCTCAACAGACACCTGACCCCTTCTGCCTCTGCCTGGAAATTGAATCTTCTAATGATGAAGTCCTGTGATTTCTCCTGACCCTGGGTGAAGCGTCCCCATCTGCACTTGTGCTCATTCACTGTCTGTGAACATGACGGATGTTGACTCTTCATCCGCATCAGTGGGACAAGTGGAAAATGGCACGTTCCTGGAGCGATTCCCCACCACCTTGTCCACTTTGGTGGTTCCGAGCCCCAGTCACTTGTCCAATGTCTACATCTATGTCTCCATATTCCTCAGCCTTCTAGCTTTCCTGCTTCTGCTTTTGATCATCGCCCTGCAGAGGCTCAAAAACATCATCTCCTCCAGCACTTCTGGCCCTGACTACCCCAGTGACACAGGCAGCTCGTTCACCAACCTGGAAGTCTCCAGCATTTCCTCCCAGCATTCCACTCTCTCCAGTCTGTCCACCTGAGGACCCCAGCCAGTGTGCTTCTGCAGAAGGAATGGAGCCTGGGGTCACCATTTGAGTTCGGTTCTGTCTGCTTTTCCAAGTACCTGGACACTCATTTTTCCATCTCTGATTGCTAGTAAGGATGCTTCCATCTCTGATCCCTGGTAAGTGTGCTCATATCTCTGACCATCAGGGAGGATAATCTGATCTCTGATCTCCAGTTAGAAGTTCTACATCAGTGAATGTAGGTCCAGACATGGATAGACTGCAGAGAGCTCTAGGGCAGGGTTTCATGTGACTGATGGATTAATCTGGGGCTAGCTTGTTTCGGGGGGGCAGATAATCGACCTTTGTGACTGTGGGCTTGTGCCCCACACATCTGAGGAAGCCATGAAGCCCAGTGAACCAGCAGGGGCTCCAGAGAAATCAAGTCTGGACAATTTAGAGGATATTTGCCTTATCTTTTTTCAAAGAAGCCCTAATAGTGCACTGACTAAGCTACCAGATGCTAACCAGAAGTCAGTGGTTCTAACCCACCAGCAGCTCCGTGGCAGAAAGACATGGCAATCAGCTCCCCCTGGGGAACCCAGTAGGGTGGCCGCTCTATTCTGCCCTACAAGGTCACTATGGAACCACTTCTACAACAATTCTAGGGTCCTGCCATATTTTAAAAAAGAAAGTAGAGGCACTGACTTTACAAAGAAAAGTTTATTTAGAGTCCATTTCTGAAATCAAAGACAAGAAAGAATATGGCAAACATTTTACTTGCACAGCTGTAAGTGAACAGATGTCATGTTTGTTGACAAGTGTGAGCCAAGTCTGGAAAAGTGTGGGGTGGATTCTGCAGTTACTGGTAGCAAGAAAGGGTGCTCTGGTGCCTTCAAGGTCAGCACAGGCACGGGGTTTGAATCCACTCAGTGGAAGAAAGATGGGCATTTTCCTCCCATGCAATTTACAACTTCTGAAAACCCACTGGAGGGCCAGCTGTGAGTTGAGTCAGATTCAATAACATATAACATCAACAAAAGCAAGAAAAACATGCATCATGCTGCAATTTGTAATATCTCCTTTTTTGGTTTTGTATATTTGTTTTCCTGCTTATGTTTTGAGAACATAGCTCTTCTTTGTTGATTTCTTTGTGATAATCATTGTTATTGCTAAGAGAAGTATCAGGGACAACACTGACACACACAAATAATTTTGTATGTGGAGTTTGCAGCAATGAGAATTTGGTACCTGGAAGACATGCATTGTGTTGTGTTTTGTGCAAGGCTGACTCCTTTCTTCAGTTTCACTGTCTTTATAAAGTCAAAGTGAGTTCGAGAATGACTTTGACATGCTTGTTGCTCATGTGCTACTGTTAGAGTGGGTGCCTTAGAGTTTAAAATCATTCATACATGTGCTGTGATATGCTTAATGAAAAATTGCCTGCCTTAAAAAAAAATTCTAGTATCAATGACATCTTTTTTAATTTTATACTGGTTTACTTACAAAGTTTGTGTACATTGTTTTTAACACCAGATCTTTCCAATTCCTTTACCCACACCTCCCTTCACCCATCAAATTGTGTGACCCTATGATTACCCGCCACCCATCCTCACCCTTCTGCTCCCACCCTCCCCCACTTGGGTCCTCATTTTACTAGTTATCTTTCTCTTTCTACAATAGTGATCTTATACAGTATTTGTCATTATGGGACTGAGTTAGTTCACTTAGCATAGTGCTCTCTAGACCCTCACAAGTTTGTGATTTTCGAAATCATTGATCCTGTGTACTGTGTATCATTTCATTGTGTGGATATACCATAATTGTGGAATCCATTAGATTGTTGTTGGACATTTGGGCTGTTACCATGTTCTTGTGATGGTGAATAACTCTGTTATGAACATTTCTTGGGGTATGTTCCAAACAGTGAAATAGCTAGGTCATATGGAATTTCTGTGTTCAGCTTTTTGAGGAAATGCCAAATTGCCTTCCAGAGTGATTGTGCCATTTTACAATCCCACCAGAGTTTTATAAGAGGACTTATCTCACCACATCCTCTCCAACATTTATTACTTACTATCCTGTTAAACTTTGCCACTGCTACTGGGATGAGATGGTGTCTCAATGCGGTTTTGATTTGCATCTCTCTTATTGCCAGTAATTTTGAGCATTTCCTCATGTGTCTGTTGGCCATCTGAATGTCTTCCTCTGTGAATAATTCTTTCAATGTCTTTTTGCCCATTTTGTAATTGTGTTATCAGTCTTTTTCTTGTGGAGGCCCTGTAGGATTCTGTAAACTTTTGATATGAGACCCTTGTTTGAAATGGTAGCCAAATGCCCCTCCCCAATCAGTAGGTTTTCTTTTTACTCTACTGGAAAAAGTTTTGAATGTGCAGAAGGATTTAATCTTTAGAAGGTCCTATTCATTAATTTTATCCTCTCCAGATTGTGCATTTCTGGCTATATTTGGCAGTCTCTTTATACTATAGACTAAACCTTTCAAGCCTGATCCCAGTTTATCTCTTATCAACTTTATGGTTTTAGGCTTGACTCCCAGGTCTCTGATCCACCTTGAGTTTATTTTAGTGTATGATGTGAGATGTGGATCCTTTTCAGCTCTTTGCAGGTCACAATCCAGTTCTGCCAGCACCATTTGTTCTTCATTTCATAGATTTATTTGTCAAATAACATAGATAGCTGGGTCCATTTCTGAGTTCTCAATTCTGTTCCATTGGTCTGTTACTGTACCATGCTATTTTGGTTACTATGGCTGTGTAGTATGTTTGAAGTCAGGCAGTGCTATGTCTTCCACTTAATTTTCAGTTTTGTGCTTTGCCTATTCGTGGTCTCTTTGTTCTCCAAATAAACTTGACAAGTCCCCTTTCAATATCCTTGAAAACAAATTTGGTATTTGTATTAGAATTGCATTGAACATGTAGATTGCTTTTAGTAAGACTGTCATTTTCACAATATTGGGCCTTCCTATCCATGAATGTTGTTGTTGTTATGTGCCATGGAGTCGCCTGTGACTCATAGCGATCCTATGCACAACAGCCCTAAACCCTGCTCTATCCTGCGCCAACCGCACCGCCTCTGACAC